CGTAAACACTTCTGAAGCATTGTCACATATGCGACAAGAGAAGCTGCATGCGCAATATAGAAAAGTTCATGCAGAGCCAAGACAACTTAGCAGCAATTCCACAGTAACCGTGAAATGCCACCGTAACGTGAGTAACCTGCAATTTCAACTATCAGATCTAAAATGCAGTGTGTGTGCCCAGTGATTCAAGAACTTGAAGCAAGGCCTATGAAGCGTGTTCTTCGTATCAAGAGCGCATGCGTTTGTTGACACTGTCGCCGAGCGATATAGGGCGCCGAAAACTCCAAGCGCGTATACCAAACTATTCAGCTTACATGATATACAGATCCCGACGCTGCCGCGCAAAACACGAGATATGGTTAGCACCAAATGCGGTAAAAAGGACACGGCTGAACCCAATGGACGTCCAAACAGCTATGGCTTACTACTCCAAAGATGAGTACAGCTGCTCCCGGCAGAGTCCCAACAAAAAGATGTAGTATCTGTTATCATTGACGGAAAAAAGGAGCTTGTTTCGAAAAGGTTTGTGACCCGTTCGGTGCGAGCGGCTTACCGTCTCTTTAGAGAAGCTAATCCAAACACGTCTATTGGAGTTTCGAAGTTTTATTCACTGAGGCCGAAGTGGGTTCTTCTTGCACCACACCAGAAGTGTGCCTTTTTATATACTGTGCTAATGCCACGGAGTGTGTTTCTGCCCTACAAGAAGTCACCGATGGTGCCTACACGGCGGACTTCTTGAAGAAACTATGTCTTTTGCAGCTCCCCTACAAGTGATTGTTTTTTAGGCCATTGTGACTATTGTGCTAAGGAGGACGCTCTGACAGCCACAAGTTTAGGAATTCCTGAAGATATTGAGGTAGCCTATGCAGTATAGGAAAAGGGTGATCTAGTAAAAAAAAACAGCCCAGGCAAGTGCTTTTCTGCGAGCGCTAAGTCTATGGTTCGTGAAGCGGATTGCCCATGATTACATAAGATACATTCAAGAATCATCAATACGCCAGGCGAAAGAGTACCAATAAAAAGAATCTTGCGTTTTTCACTTTGATTTCGCCGAATATTGGACAGCCATTTTACCGAATGAGGTGCAGTCGTATCGCTGGCACAAAATACAGGTGTCTATATTCACGTGTGTCGCCACAAGGAAGCAATCAATTCAAAGTTTTGCCGTCATCAGTGATGACACATTGCATGATGCTGCACATGCCTGTTTGCTCTAAAAATAATCCACAACTATATGAAGGAACAACTTAAGCCTGACACGCAAGTTACTTATGTTTCTGATGTTGCATGCAGTCACTTCAAAACTAAGTACCAGTTGGTTCGAGTTATGTGAGAAGATAATATATCAACAAAGTGGATTTTTTCGGCCACAGGACATGGCAAGAACACTTGTGACGGTGTTGGTGGCCTACTAAAGCATCAGGCTATGCTCTACAACCACATAGCGGCAAGCTCAGCTGTGATTATGTCAGCATCCCAAATGGTGGCGCAAACGAGCGCGAAGCTCAAGAATGTAAAGCTGCTGTGTGCAAATGCAGACGAGCTAGAAACATTCCGTCAGTTTAAGAAGAGCCAGTGGAAATCGTTGCCACGTGTTCGAGGCATACGTTCTTGGCATGTTTGGCGAAGCATTTCTGAGGGCACTGATCGTGGTCGTGTTTTATTAGCGTCACGTACTGCTAAATGTGATCTGCAAAAGATGCGGCCATTTTGAGCGCATCTCTTGTTTCACGCAGTCACCACCAAAATATCAGTGAGGATATTTCAAGCGCATATGCTTTTTCTAGCGAGACCCAACACTTGCGTTGGAACATTTTCATGTTTGAGTTTATCTGCAAATATAGACAGATGTTTTGCAACTGAGTTACAGTGTCGAAGATTTCCTCCATTAGAGCTGTGTTATCAGGAGAATAAATGCGCCTTCATGGGTACGTATTTGTCACAGTGCTAAAACAGCCTTTCTTCATTAAATGCGCTTAAGTTTACTCGCGTTTGAAGCTCATTGCCACTTTTCCGTTCCAATTTCTAGATTTCTCAACTTATCAGCGCATGGGGCGTCTCTCATAATCATATGGTGGTTTGGGACGTTAAACCCCACAAATCAATCAACTTATCAGCGCATTCTCGAAAAGCTCTGATTTGTACCACGAATATTGTCGCTAAAAACAAAATAATGCAACATGTTTTTCTATATTACTGTATGATGGCCTTCGGTTGTCTATTTACGAGATTTTAAGAAAAGCCGATGATAGGGTTTGTTATTATTCAAATTTCAGTAGAGGACACTTTTGCCAATATGAGAAATTTGAGGCAATATATAAAAGTTTACATTTGCCCTACGACAGCAATGATTTATGTACCTAATGAACACTCTATATCCTTAAAACGTGTCAAGTTTGAAAACGCTGCTTGCATTACTTTCGGAGGTAAAAAATGAAAAATACGTAACTTATTTTAAACTGTTGCGAAATTAGACATTTTTAAAAGCTAGTTTGTTAAGGCCTACAAACTTGAAACTGTACGAATTTAGTTTTCATTAGACATGCATTTCAGGTAAAAAATATGTCCTTGAAACAAATATTTTTGTCTTTTTATAGCATCTGCAATTTTTGAAAATGACAGGTGACGAAATTGGTGCCTCCGTGTTGATGAAGTCTGGTATTTTTTTCTCGTAAGGTATGCCGTTAATCATAAAACGAAGTTGACTTTCGGGCTACCTGGTGAGAGGTGCACGAAATATAAAATACTCAATGAAATCTAAGATATCAACTTTTGGACCCGTGTCGATCTCTCGTGGAATCATCCACTAATCACAATCACGTGCATCTTTGAAAGGGCCGACCTCACCGATCTATGTTACACTGCATTGTTGACTCATACGTATGAACAGAATTGATATTGTACAACAAAAATCTCATCGATGAAGCGCCAGATAAAAGGTAAGATTGTATCAATAAAGTGCAACGATTTCGCGTGCATACGTCTTCCATGCACATCTTTTCAATGAATCATGTTTCATGTCTATTACTTCAATTTTCGATTCGAATACGCCCACAAAATAAACAAAATTTACAAGCAGAAGTTCTGTGAATAGTGTTTTGATTGCGTTCACTAAATGTGTAGACAGCTATTGTCAATGCAGGAGTCCTTCTTCACCCGAAGTGTACCAGCCTCTTGTTCCAGGAAGTTGTGCGTTATCTAGTGCGGTCTCTCAGCTCGACGCACCAGCCCACACTTGTCTTTAAGTCCAGGGTGCTGATCACAAGCGTATACCTGTGGGTTGCGTTACCGTAAAGTCTCTAGCATGCAACCCTACGCAATCAACCGCCCTTTTTATTCTTTTGGGAGATTTCGCATAGACCGCCTTCTCTTCCCACCATTTTCGCTGTTTACTTCACACGTTTTATTCTCTGGACAAGAACAAATGCAAACAGGCGACCTCCAAGTTTCGTCAAACTTTTCTCTACCGTATTGACCTTCTCAGTCGAGTGTTGGTCAGCGCCGTCATAGTCCTCTCTGGGCTGTTGTTGGTGCGCGTGACCCCCCAAATAGTGCACTGCCGAAGCTGTGACGTCGGCTTTTGTACTCTCGTGCAACAGCCCAGAAAAGAGAAAATCCTTCTCTGGTAAAAAAGAAAAGGTGCATAGAGGAGCGGGAACGGGGTGCGTCCTGGCTGGGAATTGAAGGGCAGTATGGTGACGTTGATGCTGTCGAGTGCATTCCCATACCATATTTATGTCGCACCATCATCACATTTCACTTATAGGACAGAGGATGCTCATGGTATCAGCACATTAATTAAAGCACCACCATTCTTCAGTTTGCAGACTTTGCTTAAACTGTACTATGCCTTCATCCACAGTAATATCACGTACTGTATCACGTCATGGGCGAATACCTATGCATCTCATATTCTTTCACTACAACGTCTCCAAAACCAAGCCATTTGCACCCTAACATTCATGATTGATTTGTGGGGCTTAACGTCCCAAAACCACCATATGATTATGAGAGACGCCGTAGTGGAGGGCTCCGGAAATTTTGACCCCCTGGGTTCTTTAACGTGCACCCAAATCTGAGTACACGGGCCTACAACATTTCCGCCTCCATCGGAAATGCAGCCGCCACAGCCGGGATTTGAACCCGCGACCTGCGGGTCAGCAGCCGAGTACCTTAGCCACTAGACCACCGTGGCGGGGCCACCCCCTAACATTCAGTTCACCAATCACCTGCGCGTCCACACTTTTTCAGCAACATAATGTACTAACAGAGTGTAAGTTATTCAAATAGAAATTGGGGATTCTTGTATTTAAGTGTTTCAACGGTACCATAACAGTCAACGTTTTAGAGAAATTTCAATTGTTGAACTCTAATCTTACCAGGTTTGCTTCAAACAACAACTTTTTATTACCACATGTACACACTATGACAAACATAATACCATAATTGCAGCTATCCAATTTTGGAATTCAGTACCACTAAGCACTAAAGAAGTGTCATTAGCTGCTTTCAAAAAGAACCTAAACATCTTATCTCGCAATTATAAATCATTTTCATTTTTATATTAGCGTTCGCTTACATTTACAGCTATTACTGTGTGCGTTATGTTCACATTTATTACCGATGCACATTGGAGTTGTTTTACTAGCTGTATATCATTAATTAACGTCATTTCGTTCCCGATTCTACTGCCATTTTTATTGTATGTTTCGTTGTTTTCATAGCACAATTACTGAAGATTGTTTTGTTACTATTTTTACTGGCATTTTCATTGCATGTTTGCGTTGTTTTTATTACTATCAATAATTACAATTATTTTTTGTGAGAAATAAAGATTTCATTGATTTCATTGATGTAGTAAGTTCCCATGTACACTATAAACAATGCCAGCGTTTGGCGCTTGGGTAGACATGTGGTACAGCACGATGCTGGTTTTATTGTGCAGTTGGATGAGTGTTATGATCAGCTGTCGTACCCGTTTCGCAATTTGTAATTTGCAGATCGAAGCCACTTATGGCACCTCCATTCTGCTACAGCTTCGTCGTCACCACTGTTCTACTCTTTGCCGGAGGTGCTGTGGTCGGCTTACTAATGTGGCTGCAGGTACACTGGAAACAATAATTTCTTACAATGTGACAATCGCAGGAGTCGCAAAGCTGTGACATCATTATGAGGGGTGCCTATCCGATTAATGTAACGTTTTCCAGTTTTTTTCACCTGGTGCACGAATCGCAACGGCTTCCTATTTGAAACATGATTGTGCATTGACTCCTACATGAGATTAACAGTGTTTTCATAGTAAATATGGCTGGATTTCAGTGTAATTACAATGTTTTATGTTTATTTATGTCGATAACGTTATTATTCTGGCACACTGCTGTACTTACTCCATCGTGTAAAGAGTAAATGGGGTAGTTCGTTCATGGAAAGCACTTTTGATGGCACGAGCAACTCATTACAAGTTCGGTGAAAATGCGTGCGATGATATACTGTAAAAATGCCATAGCATTTTAAACATCTTAAACAATGGTTGGGCATATTGTCATAGTACACGTTACCTTTTTTCATTACTTCATAAAACCAAAGCAAGCTAATGCGTCATATGATGCATGTAAACGTTGTCTAGTCTGAGCGTGAGAGGATGAGGGGAAACATTTATTGGGCACCACATCCGTGGAGGAGATGCTGTGCGTGCAAGAAGTCAAACAGCCAGGTGACCTTGAGTCCTGTCCGCTGCCTTCACCCGCCCTGTAACCCGCTTGCGTGTTTGCAGGTCTGAGATGAGCAGAGTTGCTTCCCTCTGCTGAAGGGTAGTGATAAAAGCAATTTGGGTATAAGATTAAGTTCGCTGCGTTTCAAGGAAGCCCCAGAACACATGGACATTCTTGAGTGGGCAATCTCGGTAACTAAGTGAAACAACGCATGCCGAGAAACAGCCGGCTATTTTTTTTCGGGAGTGGGGCACATGTTCGAGTTCTTGAAAAATTATTTTTTTGTTATTTATTCACGGTAAAGCACCTTCATCAATAGAAATTCGGGAGGGGGGGTGGCTCTAGGGCACGTTTTTTGGCCACGGGCTTGCCGACGAGAATGCCGATGAGCCCCAATTCATAGCATTTGCTTAGGTGACGTTACGCGCGTTACATTACCCACATCACGGCAACTGAGGGCGAGACAGCGGTAACTCCGGTGGGAAGCACTGTATTTATTTTTGTAAACGAGTTAGCGCAGGTGTACTGGTCCTATGAAACTCGTGCAAAACCCGATCATGTCCCCTAGCAGAATGGAAGTGGAAGCCATTCTCGTTGCGCAGGTCATTAAATAGCCACATACTGGAAATATTCAAACTGTGCTTTGTCGGTTCTACGTCTGGATAGGAGATGATATACTAACGTGACTGAAAACAATGTGAGCAGAAACGCCTGCTAACTCAACCGGTTCATCGGTCAATGATATACGTCGTCAAGCCACTTTATCTACCCTACTGAAAAAAATGAACTTCATGCGTCCGTTGACAATGCTAAGTAAACTAGCAGCCTGAGGGCATGCACACTTAAGACAGCCAAGCTAACAAGTATGTAAGCGTCATGCCAGCCATCTGTCTGCTACCTGTTTCTGCAGTGCTCATTAACAAAAGTAGTAGAATTACAACTTGAAGTGGTTGCATAATGTGTCCCTATTGTGCGTACCGGAATGAGAAATCAACCGTGAATTCCGCATGGGTGCGCATGAAGTGTTGCGGGTCCAAAAAAAGTAATGAAAGGCCCACAACTACACTGTTCCGGTGAGAGTGCACAGTTGTACGCAAGCTCAACGCTACGATGTCCCTCAATGAGTTCACTGTTCTGGCCGGAAATAATTATTTTTTATTGACAACAATACTGTTCACAATGTTGTAGGGGCCTGATGGCGTGGGATAGCTTGTTTCCCAGAAGACAAATGCAAGGCCAACCTCACTAGTGCAGCAATTTTTACCCTGTTTGAACATAAAGGTAATTATCCAACGGGCCACTCACTATGAATGCATAGAGGTACCCCTTATTTTTTGCTTTCTAAGCACAAACTTTCTGGTTTCACATCACGTTTTGTGAAAAAGTAGGCCATTTCATTATTACACTTTTTGTTCGCGGTAGTTTTTTTTCATAATAAACCTAAGAGGAAACTTATTGTTTCTGTCTTCGACTTTCTCACTGTAAACCGCCCTAAAACGAACTGCACTTAGCTCGTTCGAGGTGTCTGCACAAGCCTTCTCCATTTTTTCCTTCACGCAACATAGGCGGACCACGTGGAAGTCCGCACTAAAAGTGGAAGCACAGTTCGTGGATTCCGGTCTTATGTAGCGAACTACCGGATCTACACATTCCTTGGCATTCCTTACGCCCAGCCTCCCGTGCACAACTTACGCTTCAGGTGAGTTTGTGTAAAAAAGATCGTTCTGCGTATTCTAATGCACACTATTTCATTTTGTGAGTAAAATGCAGTTACTACCTTGTTAGACAAGTAAATGAGCTCTTACGAAGACATTTAACATTCTGAACTCACAAAACTCAAATTTAGAAAAAAAAGCTCAGTAGCTGTTCTGAGCTGCTATCCAGGAACAAAAAGTTTTTTTTAATAAAGTAAATGACTTCTTTTGAAAAAAAAAAGAGTCGAACATGAATGATGCAGCTGTTCTTACGACACTTGTATACGTGATCTGTAAGAAAGTTTAATCGCTACGACATTGTTTATTTACAGATAATTTGTGCTCACAAAATGATACTTTAATATGTATTACTGAAAACATAGTCGCAACAGGCTCCAACATGTGATACAAGCAGGCGAAAAGATAACTAGATAGAATTCACCATATCGTAGACGCAACTATTGCGCTCACTTTCAGCAATAAACAGCTGTAGTATAAAAGTCTATTAATGCAGCCTCAGAATGTTATTCACGAAAGTGTTGATCAGCTTTCCTTTAATAATCCCTTCCTTTGTTCTCTACAAAGTATGGTGCATGAGAATACCTGTTATACGTACCTAAAACAAAGCGTAAAAATTTATGCTGCGGGATGCGATTGCGTTCTGAATAATTTCTGAGTGTCTATTTCTCCGGCCTAGATATTTCGCTGCTCATGTTTTCGTCAGTATTTGGAGTGTGTCATCTTTGGGTAACGAATATGCAATTTATCTGAATTCTCTTTTCTCGTGCTTACTTCGTTGACTAAGTCGTCAAACATGCTGTTTCTTGTTTGCTGGGTGCTTAACGTCAGTATTTCGAGTATTGAATACATGTGTAACGTGTCCATTGTTCAACGCCACTTGCATGTCTCCGCGCGTACTTGCACTCTCCTACTTTCGAACATGTATCCTGCTCCTTTCCTCCAAACGCTTTAAATGTCAGTCCAGTGGTATGTTGAAACAAATTTACTGAAGCACGGGTGGGAAGCAAGTATTATAGACAGGAAATATGACATGGTTCCCTCCGCGCACAGTAAAAACGGACAAAAATCAGGGATATGGACGTTGCAAAATCTCAACTGTCACGCGTCCTCAATTGACGCCGCAGGCTTCCACTGCCGTACAGTGAAAACTCATCTGTGGTGCCTGCCACGCTAGAGTGCCCTCCGTGCCCGCAGAGGGGTTGGTTCTCGCCCATAAACGAAGGCTGGGAAGGAGCCGAAGAGTGCCTGCACCTCAACGTGTGGACGCCGTGCGCCGAAACCACCACGGGAGGTGGTTGCGCAAAGCTGCCCGTCCTGCTGTTCCTCTTCGCCGAGGGTTTCCAGACGGGCAGCAACATGCGCTTTGACGGCTCCCTGCTTGCTGCCTCGCAAAACCTGGTCGTCATTGCTCCGAACTTCCGCATTGGCGTGCTAGGCTTCTTCCACAAAGGTGACATACTTCCGACAGAAGATAATTATAGTTACTGCCAGTGCTACTGAAAGCCACGTGATTGGCATCAAAAACAGGTGTGACCTCAAAGGGGCCCTGAAACACTTTTTTCAAGTAGCCGTGAAACGGGCTCACTACAGCAACCTATTGTCTCACGAATTGAACACTGCCAAAATATTTAGAGTCCGTCCAGTACGAGCGAAGGTACAAATAATTGTAGTATGTTGCAGTTATGTACTCTCTTCTCTTTTAAAGACGAAAGCGCTCGAACCTAAGGATGGAGAGTTGGCATAGGAAAAAAAAACACGTCACATGCACCTCACGACCTTAAACACTTTGCGCGAACACTCGTGGACGAGTTGCCGCTTTTCGCGGTGACATGAGAAAACGACCAAGCAGGCCATGCTCAAATCAGACAATGCCTGATACAATGGCTGTGACAAGTGGTTTTTGAGCTAGTAGCATCATTTGCTCATTAAAAGAACGCAATTTTATGTTGAGTTTGCGAAGTTATGGTGAATCCCAGGCCTCGTTCTGTGATATATTATTTGATTCGCGTGTTCTCGGGAGCCTCTAGTACCGATTCGCAGCGTTTTACCACTATGCTCAAAAAGTATCACAGGGTCAATTTAAAGGGACACTGAAGTCAACTATTAATTTCACATTGATTGTTGAAATGATGGTCCAGAAACCTCGTAGTGTTACTTTTGTGCAAAGCAAGAGTCTATTTTTAAATAAAACCAGGTTTTAGTGCTCCGCATCGGGTTAGTCCACTTCAAATTACCCGCTTCAAGAGGCGGACTGACCGGACCGTATAATGTCACTGTTGTCATGCACAACGTTGCCCGGCTTTACTACGATAGTAGCAGCAGAATGAAAGCAGCGGGAGCCACAGCAGCAACAACGGCCATTGATCGATTTCCGGCCATTGGCTTCGAGATTGTAGACGCTTCTGTTTCAACTGTGCCCCACTAGATGGCACCACATGTCCCGTGTAGCCCCCGTGAAAATTACTTTAAGCGCGTCCTGCAGGATTGAAATAAAGTTTTTTTATTCTATTCCAACCACTCGCGTAATTACTCATAGTAACCTCCGGCGATTCTTTTTTCCATGAATCAAGCAGAAATAAACAAGCAATATTTTATTGCATCTATAATGCACGGAACGTTCTTTATTGAGTACACTTAGATCTATTACTAGTGGTTATTGCAGGTGGTTCATCTGATGTCATCGGGATCATTTTAGAAATGTCCTACTGCGGCGCTTGTGTTCTTGTGCATTTACTTAAAGTTTTCAATAAGTAGGGCACTGATGTTGATACTATTGTTGTTTTAGATGTTGACATACATTGCGCTTTCACATTAACGTAAATTGTTGTTTTGCCCCACCGCGGTGGTCTAGTGGCTAAGGTATTGACCCGCAGGTCGCGGGATCGAATTCCGGCTGCGACGGCTGCATTGACGACTGAGGCGGAAATGTTGTAGGCCCGTGTACTCAGATTTGGGTGCACGTAAAAGAACCCCAGGTTGTCGAAATTTCCGGAGCCCTCCACTACGGCATCTCTCATAATCATATGGTGGTTTTGGACGTTATATCCCACATATCAATCAATAAATTGTTGTTTGACTTCAGTGCCCCTTTAAGGAAGCTTCGTTCTATTGTAACAAAGATTATACATTACTTGAGGGTAGCAACAAGTATCTTTTATTGCTGAAGAAAGTACCATAGCAGGAAAGTTGATTCTAGATAGATTTGTATCCTACAACTTCCCTTCTGTTCAAATACCAGTATTATGTTGCTTGCACTTCATTTTTGTTCGAACACCTGATTTGGGCTTGGCCGTAGCCATGCCTTTCTGCTGATGACACTCAGTCTGTAATTTCAGATGACGATCCTATGTCTATTCTACAGCAGCGTCATTCCCTTAATTACTTTTCTCAAGATGAACTAGCGTGTTACATGCAACGTGTACTAGTAAACACCAAAAATTAGTCAAGGTCCCAAAAATGACCTTTGCGTGACCCTGATTTGCCTGTTTGGTACGTGCATGCCTGCTGAGCTTTAATAATGAATTGCTACCTTCTACATATAAGCCTTCTGTCATCATATTCGCCGTCTTGCGGCTCCTTAATGTGAGGGATAAAAATGCTCGTTCAGTCGCTTCCTGCTCCTCCATACCCATTTTTGATGCTTCTTTTTTTTTTGAGCGTAAAAGTCCTATATTAATGGTGTTGTTATGCAATATATCCCTAAGTTGAATAATTTTGCAACGTGATATTTCATTGGTTCTTCCAGACGGGCATGAGATGCCTGGCAACCTTGCGTTGCATGACCAGGAGCTGGTGATAAAGTGGGTAGAGGACCATGCAGACCTATTTGGCGGAAACTGGAACAACACAGTACTGATGGGTGCCACTACGGGTGCGTGGTCCATTGGCGCACACTTTGTCAGCATGAACCCATTCTGGCGCTGGCGAACGCAGAGGTTGCTCCTTCACAGCGAGTCCCCTTTTCGGAGGCAAGCATGGCCGTACAATGACGAATCAATTGCCACTTTTCAACTACATCTTTTTGTAAAGTAAACTGGGCTGGATAGCTTTTAGGGCTTTTTGGTAAATGTGCAGCGTATACGCATAGACTAACCTAGCACAAGTACGTGAACTAATAGGCAAGTAGTGTTGGACACAATTGGACGAGATTATTTACTTATACCTGATAGAAAAGTACAAACCAGCCTTTGGATAGTGTATGAACACTAATTAGTATAGCTAAAACGTTCGATGAACGTGACTGAGATGCATAGACAGATACTATGGCAGTCCAGTCAAGTATTACTAGGGATTATTATGTGTAGGGTAGGGTGGGGTAAGATGAAGTACTGTGCAAAACGCGGCATTTGGACTTTGCTAGTCTCAGCACCTAATACAAAAATATTTTTCTTCGTTTTTTTTTCATTTCTATTTTCCTGCGACAGGTGCTGGTCCTTGTCGACCTTTTCATGTGTAAAAGTTTACGACCACTCACGGCGTTCACGAGGGAAAAATTAGGCGGCTGGTGTCAGTATATGTTAATGACACGTCTAAAAGGGTTGAAGCTGTGCTCGGCCAAATTTCCGGATCTGCGCGTTAAGCTACTTTTGCGTCAGTAAAGGAACGCAAATATTTATTTTATTACTTTACATTACGAGCTACATAGCAGCAAAACGTTAGTTTGTCGGTGCACGGAGACAAAGCAGAACATTTCGTATTTCTGGCATGTGAGAGGGTTACAACGCTACAAAAAGGCATCCAGTTGCCTTAGAAAGAGTCTTATTATTGCACCATTAACTTTTATAATATTACACTTTCTTGATTAGGAGGGTTAGAATATACTAAGTATATTATATAGAGCTTTCTTATGGGCAAAGGACATGAAAAGCACTGATTGACGTTCAGAACATCACTCCCTTCATTTGCGCCGCATCAAGGTTTATCTTGTACCTGAGGATGCTCTTAAAAGGTGCACAAAGAATGGTGAAATCTCTAAGCCAAGCCGTTTAGGAATACGTCTCGGAATGAAGTTTAAACAACTTTTTTTCAAATTCGTAATTAAGAAAAGACAAGCGTAATAAAATATGAATCTAGCACAGTTTTATATTGATTGCCTCGCCAATCCGGGCGTATGAAGTTAAAAGCCACGAAACGCCAGAGTAGTACCGCATGAAAACGGTAAAAACAGAGGTGAAGAAGATACGTCAAAACATACCTATAGTGTCTAATTGTTGAATTATTCACGAATAATTCAATAGTGGTTAAACGAGGTGCAAGCGTTCAACAAAAGACAACATTAGCAGAAAGAAAGAGTGGTAGTGCTTGATATGCAAGTATTTTTGAAGGAACATAACACCGCGTTATATCTATAGATTTCATTGCGTGGAGTTTAAAGACAGCACTACATAATCCTGTGTGAAGGCTCACAAAGTCAATTTCAAGTTCTTTTTTTAAAGCGAAAACTGAATGAATGTATTTGTTTTCACGTCTCGTTTTCCCCCGCAGGTCCCGTAGGTTGGGGCAAAATGAGAAATTAGCAGCATTTTTAAAATTAATTTTTAAACAATATTGTATCTGCGTGCTTGGGCTGAGCAGTTCAACACCTGACTCGGTATGCTACGACTGTGCATAAAGAACACACATAAAGAGCTCTGCATAAATGTCACCACCAACACTCCTCTTCTTCTATTGTAGCCGAAGCCAATTGATTCAGCGGTTCTAGGACACCGGGTCAACATTGCCATGCGTGTTATTTCGATGTGTTCAATCGCAACCGCAAAGACTGGTTACAACCCTCAGCGAATACGGCTTCGCAATGCTTCAGAAGCTTCTGGATTATCTAATATCATTCCGGGAAGACCACACGTGGCACGTGGATAGCCTAGAACGTACGAGACCACCAGTGATCACACTGGAATCTTCGACAGCACGCGAATAACAACCGTTGCGTCGTACCGCACTGCTTGTCAGTTCATCGACAGTTGACGCTCTGTTTACCGCTATTAGTCTACAGTGCGTATTACTGTAATTTGAGTTTTCTTTTGCACGACACAAGTTCACCCAAGTAAAGGAGTTTCGCCTTTAACACGCTGACGGCTGCATTTGTAAACATCACGACAATATGCTTAATATAAATATTTGAAACGCCTCCATCCTAAACATATAAAATTGCTTTTTAAGAAATAATGGACACTGGGATAGTACTTCGTTTTGAAAAAGTCGCGCATTTCTGCTGAAGGAGTTATAACATGGGAGTCAGCCTCGAGTGCATCCTCAGTACATCAGATGAAAAGTGATCGATCGGTACAAAGCCATCAATGGGTAATATTTGCAAAGCTGCTACACATAACGTCTGTAAATAAGTCCGACGACGCTTCAATACCTACGGCAAAGAGGTTGGAGGAAAGTTCGTCTGAAAACAGCAATTTTATTATTTGCGTTCGAAAGGCCGTGCGTTTGCTCTCTGTCGAAAGATTCAACATGAAATCAATAGTACAAGGAACGGTATGTTCTTGAAGAAAAAAAAAGCTTATCGCTGCGCACTAGTTTAAAGGAAACTATAGCACCAGCGCCCGGTAAAACGTTTTTTGAAATGATGGTAGTGTTCATGAGTTGCCCATTTCCAAATGATATATGTTTAAAAATATATCGGGTATTGTATGCCAAAAGCATTCTCTTATTTTGAAGGGAGCCGTAGTCGAGAACTCAGGAAAATTTGATAATTGGGGGTTGCTTAGCATGAGCTGGCATCACACAGTACATGAGACTTCAACATTTCGCCTCCATCGAAGCGAGACCGCCACTACCGGAATCTAACCGCTGACCTTCGGGTCAGCAGCCGAGCAACGTAAACGCTACACCATTACGACGTACGAAAGATATATCGTGAAACACACAACACAAGTAAGGACGGGTACACAGGAAGAGGTCACACACAATGCTTCTCTTCCTGGGTCTTCATCGTTACTTCTTTTGTGTTTTTCTAAGGACTCATCAACAAGGTCAAGTTCGCGCTGTCAAAGGATAGGTGTTGTACTGCCTCAATGAGATCAAGGTATCTAGTTTTTTTGTATGCAGCTTATAGCTTTTTTGTATGCAGCTTATAGCTAGCACACCGCCATTTCTGTTTTGCATTGGTACAAGGGTATACGGGCTTACGGAAGTTTACTAAAATGAATTAATTATGCCCATTTAATGTTGTTTCATTAACTACACTAAAGATTACGTCCATGCACGGTAGAGAGAAATATAAGAGAATAAAAAAAACGCTTCAACATATGCTAACGTACCACGGCTGTATCGGATGGTTGCCAAAAAGGGATGAAATTCGCTTTGACTACAGGTGCATTATAACAATACACACAAAAAAACTTGAAAAAAAAGTCACCATAATATGTGAAATATTTACCATTCACTAGAATGACCTATGCAATGGTATATCGGGCTAGAAAGGTGAGACCACTACTTCTGAACAAACTTGTATGGTATCCTGGTGTCATAGATTAAGGTTTTGTAAATGATTGGCTTTAATGTTAATCGAAAACATTCCGTAGTCAGACGTCTACATGAGCTGTAGAAAATACTGATGTGCTACCTTCTTGTCCATTACACTTACGCTTCTTGCTGGCGGCTCCCTCGATGGGGCTCTCTCTTCTGTTTACGGGTTGTATCCACAACACCACTGAGAACTCAACAAATGTAATAAAGAAAGTTCTTAAGCGAGTATGAGATTTTTCATGAAAGAAGCGTGTCTTAAGAGAGGAACACATAAGCAAGATAGTCTTTTGGTGCATTAGGGGTCTGGCGTCCCTCAGGTCGACAGAGATGACAGCCTCAGAAACTGACGAAATGACTGTACTGAGTGTTAGCAGTATACGGAACGTTCGAGGGGCATATGGCTCGGCTGGCGAGCAGTAATTCGGCTAGGAGGGTAGGTGAGCAAAACCAATTAAAGACGCTTTCGCTGGCATAACCGGGCCTGGCCGAGGTAAGCCTCAGCCAATTTTTTGATACGGGGCTCTGTTTCTGGGCTTATCGGACAATGGCATAAAAGAATACATTTGCACTTGCGTTTTACAAAAGCCACATGTAAACGAACAAACATTGCTGGTGCACATGGAATCTTTGTCTGAGAAGTTTGGTGTCGGCTAGCAACAATTTTCAGTTGTAGTGTTATGTCCTTCGACTGTAATTCATAACCGACGGTTGCAATTATAACCAGTTGTAATTTATAATGGGCAGATGTTTAAACTGTAAAGCAACACAATCGAACTGCCACAGCGCCTACTACCCAAAGCTTTTGCCTTACTTCTGTCACATCATTTGAGAACAAGCGAATAAGTAACATTTAAAAGGCTTGTATTGCAACGTGTTTCTAATGCTGGCGAAGGCAGCAATTGGTGTATTCAAAAAACGTTTTCTCGGTGGGTGAAAATGAGCCCGAGAAAGGAAACATCGAACAAGCCATACATGCTGTACACGGATGGCAGAAAACAGAGCATCGGCCGTCAAAAATCTGATATGCGGGGAAGTGTGCCGGCATTTATACACGTGTCTTCGAACACTCGAGCCTCATCGAAGGCGCACCCGTGATCTCTCGAATAAACATGACTATTCGCGCCTTCATTCCAACAGTAACTGAATGAGTGGAAGCAATCACTAAGTTGTTAAACAATGTGGTGAATTTTGCACCGAGCATCAGCCCGATCACATCAAAAGAAAGTAGCAAACACGCGTAAACTCCTACGAAAATTCCTGCAAAGAACACGCCGGCCTCAGACGCTACCTTTCTCGGTGGGCCCGTCTTCTGCGTTGTGGGCTTTGTGCTTTTATGTCGACAGTGAGCTATGTATTGGTAAACTTTCGCTTTAGGTGCGCAATTGCTCGGAATCC